ACTCACTCACTCACACACTCACACAGTCACACACTCACTCACTCTCTCACACACACACACACACTCTCTCACTCACTCACTCTCTCACACACTCACACACTCTCTCACACACTCACTCTCTCACTCTCACACTCACTCACTCTCACACTCTCTCACACACTCACTCACACACTCACTCACTCACACACTCTCTCACACACTCTCTCACTCACTCACACACTCTCTCACTCACTCACACACTCGCTCACTCACTGTCTCACTCACTCACACACTCACTCACTCACACACTCGGTGGCAGTGTGGAGGAGGCTCTCGCCCCTCCCTCTCCCCCCCCCCCCCCCCCGTGCTAGGCATCAAACCCATGCCCCCCCCGTTCTCCCCGCTCTGTCCCAGATGGAGGCGATGTGTGGGAGCGGCGGTGACGTCAGCGAGGATGTGGCTCGCCGCTCCCTCTCACTCTACCTCCTCCTCCTGCGTGATCCTTGCCTGCCCCTGCACTTCAAGGTGAGCGCTGGGCCCGGAACTCGCTCGCTCACTCACCTCACTCACTGTCTCACTCACTCACTCTCTCACTCACTGTCTCACTGTCTCACTCACCCTCTCACTCTCTCACTGTCTCACTCACTGTCTCACTCACTGTCTTACTCTCTCACTGTCTCACTGTCTCACTGTCTCCCTCTCACTCTACCTCCTCCTCCTACGTGATCCTTGCCTGCCCCTGCACTTCAAGGTGAGCGCTGGGCCCGGAACTCGCTCGCTCACTCACTCACTGTCTCACTGTCTCACTCACTGTCTCACTCACTGTCTCACTATCTCACTCACTCACTGTCTCACTCACTGTCTCACTGTCTTACCCTCTCACTCACTCACTCACTCTCTCACTCACTCACTGTCTCACTGTCTCACTCACTCACTCTCTCACCCTCTCACTCACTCACTGTCTCACTATCTCACTCACTCACTGTCTCACTCACTGTCTCACTCACTGTCTCACTGTCTCACTCACTGTCTCACTCACTGTCTCACTCACTGTCTCACTCACTGTCTCACTCACTCTCTCACTCACTGTCTCTCTCACTGTCTCACTCACTGTCTCACTCACTGTCTCACTGTCTCACTCACTGTCTCACTGTCTCACTCACTGTCTCACTCACTGTCTCACTCACTGTCTCACTCTCTCACTCACTCACTGTCTCACTCTCTGTCTCACTCTCTGTCTCACTCTCTCACTCACTGTCTCACTCTCTCTCTCACTCACTGTCTCACTCACTGTCTCACTCACTGTCTCACTCTCTCACTCACTGTCTCACTCACTGTCTCACTCACTGTCTCACTCACTGTCTCACTCACTCTCTCACTCACTCACTCTCTCACTCACTCACTGTCTCACTCACTCACTGTCTCACTCACTGTCTCACTATCTCACTCACTCACTGTCTCACTCACTGTCTCACTATCTCACTCACTCACTGTCTCACTCACTGTCTCACTATCTCACTCACTCACTGTCTCACTCACTCACTCACTGTCTCACTCTCTCACTCACTGTCTCACTCACTGTCTCACTCACTGTCTCACTATCTCACTCACTCACTGTCTCACTCACTGTCTCACTCTCTCACTCACTGTCTCACTCACTGTCTCACTCACTGTCTCACTATCTCACTCACTCACTGTCTCACTCTCTCACTCACTCACTGTCTCACTCTCTCACTCACTGTCTCACTCACTGTCTCACTCACTGTCTCACTATCTCACTCACTCACTGTCTCACTCTCTCACTCACTCACTGTCTCACTCTCTCACTCACTGTCTCACTCACTGTCTCACTCACTGTCTCACTATCTCACTCACTCACTGTCTCACTCACTGTCTCACTATCTCACTCACTCACTGTCTCACTCTCTCACTCACTGTCTCACTCACTCTCTCACTCACTGTCTCACTCACTGTCTCACTCACTGTCTCACTCACTCACTGTCTCACTGTCTCACTCACTGTCTCACTCTCTCACTGTCTCACTGTCTCACTCTCACTCTACCTCCTCCTCCTACGTGATCCTTGCCTGCCGCTGCACTTCAAGGTGAGCGCTGGGCCCGGAACTCGCTCGCTCACTCACTCACTGTCTCACTGTCTCACTCACTGTCTCACTCACTGTCTCACTCACTCACTGTCTCACTCACTGTCTCACTCACTGTCTCACTCACTCACTGTCTCACTGTCTCACTCACTGTCTCACTCACTCACTCACTGTCTCACTCACTGTCTCACTATCTCACTCACTCACTCACTCTCTCACCCTCTCTCTCACTCACTGTCTCACTCTCACTCACTGTCTCACTGTCTCACTCACTCACTCTCTCACCCTCTCTCTCACTCACTGTCTCCCTCTCACTCTACCTCCTCCTCCTACGTGATCCTTGCCTGCCCCTGCACTTCAAGGTGAGCGCTGGGGCGGGAACTCCCTCACTCACTGTCTCACTGTCTCACTCACTCACTGTCTCACTCACTGTCTCACTGTCTCACTCACCCTCTCTCTCACTCACTGTCTCACTCTCTCACCCTCTCTCTCACTCACTGTCTCACTCACTGTCTCACTCACTGTCTCCCTCTCACTCTACCTCCTCCTCCTACGTGATCCCTGCCTGCCCCTGCACTTCAAGGTGAGCGCTGGGGTGGCGGTGTTGGGGCCTGAACTCGCTCACTCACTCACCTCACTCACTGTCTCACTGTCTCACTGTCTCACTGTCTGTCTCTCTCACTCACTGTCTCACTCACTGTCTCACTGTCTCACTCACTGTCTCACTGTCTCACTCACTGTCTCACTCACTGTCTCCCTCTCACTCTACCTCCTGCTCCTACGTGATCCTTGCCTGCCCCTGCACTTCAAGGTGAGCGCTGGGGTGGCGGTGTTGGGGCCTGAACTCGCTCACTGTCTCACTCACTCACCTCACTCACTGTCTCACTCACTCTCTCACTGTCTCACTCACTCACTCACTGTCTCACTGTCTCACTCACTGTCTCCCTCTCACTCTACCTCCTGCTCCTGCGTGATCCTTGCCTGCCCCTGCACTTCAAGGTGAGCGCTGGGGTGGCGTGGTTGGGGCCTGAACTCGCTCACCTCACTCACCTCACTCACTCACTGTCTCACTGTCTCACTCACTGTCTCACTCTCTCACTCACTGTCTCACTCACTGTCTCACTCACTCTCTCACTCACTGTCTCACTCACTCACTCTCTCACTGTCTCACTCACTCACTGTCTCACTCACTCACTGTCTCACTCACTGTCTCACTCACTCTCTCACTCACTCACCTCACTCACTGTCTCACTCACTGTCTCACTGTCTCACTCACTGTCTCACTCACTGTCTCACTCACTGTCTCACTCACTGTCTCACTCTCACTCACTCTCACTCACTGTCTCACTCTCTCACTGTCTCACTCACTCACTGTCTCACTCACTGTCTCACACTCTCTCTCACACTCTCTCACACTCTCTCTCACACTCTCACTCTCTCACTCTGCCCCTGCACATCAAGGTGAGCGCTGGGGTGGGGGTGTTGGGGCCTGAACCACGTGGCACCGCCGTTCCCCAGCCCCTGTGGGGTGTTGTGGTGTGTGTGGTGTGTCTGGTGGTGTGTGTCTGGTGGTGTGTGTCTGGTGGTGTGTGTTGTGTGGTTGGTGTGTGTGTGGAGTGTGTGGTGTGTGTGTGGTGTGTGTCTGGTGGTGTGTGTGTGGTGTGTGTGGTGTGTGTCTGGTGGTGTGTGTTGTGTGGTTGGTGTGTGTGTGGAGTGTGTGGTGTGTGTGGTGTGTGTCTGGTGGTGTGTGTGTGGTGTGTGTGGTGTGTGTCTGGTGGTGTGTGTTGTGTGGTTGGTGTGTGTGTGGAGTGTGTGTGTGGTGGTGTGTGTGTGTAGTGTGTGTGTGCATGTAGTGTGTGTGGGGTTTGCGTGTGTGTAGTGTGTGTGTGTAATGTGTGTTTGTAGCGTGTGTGGTGGTGTGTGTGTGGTGGTGGTGTGATGTGTGTGTGGCGTGTGTGTGTGTGTGTAGTGTGTGTATGTGTGGTGGTGGTGTGTGTGTGTAGTGTGTGTATGTGTGGTGGTGTGTGTGGTGTGTGTGGTGTGTGTACCTGTCTGTGTGTGTAATGTGTGTGGTCTGTGTGTGTGGTGGTGGTGTGTGGTGGTGGTGTGTGTGTGGTGGTGGTGTGTGTGTGTGTGGTGTGTGTAGTTTGTGTGTGTGTGTGTGGTGTGTGTAGTTTGTGTGTGTGTGTAGTTTGTGTGTGGTGTGTGTGGTGTGTGTGTGTGTAGCTTGTGTGTAGTGTGTGTGTGTAATGTGTGTGTGTGGTGTGTGTACCTGTGTGTGTAGTGTGTGGTGTGTGTGGTGTGTGTGTGTGTGTAGCTTGTGTGTAGTGTGTGTGTGTGTAATGTGTGTGTGTGGTGTGTGTACCTGTGTGTGTAGTGTGTGGTGTGTGTGTGTGTGTAGCTTGTGTGTAATGTGCGTGTGTCCGCATCTCCCTCCTTCATCACCACCCCTCTCTCTCTCTCTCCTCCTCCTCCTCTCTCCCCATCAGTGCCAGGCCTTGGCACTCATCCCTGCTTTCTCCAGACTGCCCGCCAACACAGAACAACAACAACAACAACACCAACAACAACAACAACACCAACAACAACAACACCAACAGCAGCACCAACAACAACAACACCAACGGCACCAACAACACCACCACCAACAACAACAGCACCAACAACAACAACAACAGCACCAACAACAACAACAACCACAACAGCACCAACAACCACAACACCAACAACAACAGCAACCACAACAACCACAACAACAGCACCAACAACAACAGCACCACCAGCAGCACCAACAGCAGCAGCAGCATGAGGAGGCTCTGCTGGAGTTTGTTGCCGGCAATCTTCCGCTCAGCTCCCGGGAGTTCCCCCGGGGCAGCCTCCAGCACGGCGCCTACGCTACCGTGTTCGGCAAGGCGAGCTAGCGTGGTGCCGGGGGTGGCGGTGACGGTGATGGCGGTGACGGGGGCGGTGACGGTGACGGTGACGGTGGCGGTGACGGTGACGGTGACGGGAGCGGTGACGGTAGCGGGGACGGTGACGGTGAAGGTGGTGGTGCCGGGGGCGGTGACGGCGGTGACGGTGACGGTGGTGGTGACGGTGACGGTGATGGTGACGGTGACGGTGACGGGAGCGGTGACGGTGACGGGGACGGTGACGGTGACGGTGGTGGTGGTGGTGACGGTAGCGGGGACGGTGACGGTGAAGGTGGTGGTGCCGGGGGCGGTGACGGCGGTGACGGTGACGGTGATGGTGACGGTGACGGTGACGGGAGCGGTGACGGTGACGGTGACGGTGACGGTGGTGGTGGTGGTGACGGGAGCGGTGACGGTAGCGGGGACGGTGACGGTGAAGGTGATGGTGCCGGGGGCGGTGACGGCGGTGACGGTGACGGTGACGGTGGTGGTGACGGTGATGGTGACGGGAGCGGTGACGGTAGCGGGGACGGTGACGGGGGCGGTGGTGACGGTGACGGTGACGGTGGTGGTGACGGTGACGGTGATGGTGGTGGTGACGGTGACGGTGATGGTGACGGTGACGGGAGCGGTGACGGTAGCGGTGACGGTGACGGGGGCGGTGGTGACGGTGACGGTGACGGTGGTGGTGACGGTGACGGTGATGGTGGTGGTGACGGTGACGGTGATGGTGACGGTGACGGGAGCGGTGACGGTAGCGGGGACGGTGACGGGGGCGGTGGTGACGGTGACGGTGACGGTGGTGGTGACGGTGACGGTGACGGTGACGGGAGCGGTGACGGTAGCGGGGACGGTGACGGTGAAGGTGATGGTGGCGGTGGCGGTGACGGTGGTGGCGTGCCGTGTCTCACCGTGCCGGTGTCTAAGTGCCGTGTCTCACCGTGCCGGTGTCTAAGTGCCGTGTCTAAGTGCCGTGTGTCACCGTGCCGGTGTCTAAGTACCGGTGTCTCACCGTGCCGTGTCTCACCGTGCCGGTGTCTCACCGTGCTGGTGTCTAAGTGCCGGTGTCTAAGTGCCGGTGTCTAAGTGCCGTGTCTCCCCGGCAGCTGCTGGAAGCGCTGCGTCTGTCCCGTGACGAGGTGCTGCTGGGCGTGCTGCTCGGCATTGTGGGACGTGAGGAGAGGCACGCCCTGGAGGGCCACTTCCTGTCCAGCCTGCAGCGCTGCGTCAGAGGGTATGGGGGGGGGGGGCACGGGGGGGGGGGGCACGGGGGGGGGCACGGGGGGGGCACGGGGGGGGAGAGACACGGGGGGGGGGGCACGGGGGGGGAGACACGGGGGGGGGGCAGGGGGGGGGCGACACCATCCCATCATCCCTCCTGCTGCTTGTACCCCCCAGGGCCCCCCAGGGCCCCCCACAGAGAGTCACAGCTCTCCCTTCCGCTTGTACCCCCCCAGGGCCCCCCAAGAGGCCCAGCTCTCCTTGCCGCTTGTACCCCCCCAGGGCCCCCCCCCACAGAGAGTCACAGCTCTCCCTTCCGCTTGTACCCCCCCAGGGCCCCCCAAGAGGCCCAGCTCTCCTTGCCGCTTGTACCCCCCCAGGGCCCCCCAAGAGGCCCAGCTCTCCCTGCCGCTTGTACCCCCCCAGGGCCCCCCCCCCACAGAGTCACAGCTCTCCCTGCCGCTTGTACCCCCCCAGGGCCCCCCAAGAGGCCCAGCTCTCCCTGCCGCTTGTACCCCCCAGGGCCCCCCCCCCCCACAGAGAGTCACAGCTCTCCCTTCCGCTTGTACCCCCTCAGGGCCCCCCACAGAGAGTCACAGCCCTCCCTGCCGCTTGTACCCCCCCCCCCAGGGCCCCCCACGAGGCCCAGCTCTCCCTGCTGCAGTGCTGCCTGGCCCCGCTGCTCACGTGCCGGGCCGGCGGGGCCGGGCCGGCGGCGGCCGCGGCGAGGGGCGCCGGCCGGGCCGTGGCGCCGCTCCTGGCCGCCGCGACGGACGCCGCGCTGGAGGAGTTGTTCCGTCGCAACGTCGGCCGCCTGATGGAGCAGCTCACAGCTCGCACCTCCAAGGTGGGGGGGGAGGGTGGGGGGAGGGTGGGGGGGTGGGTGGGTGGGGGGGTGAGGCTGCCCCCTACTCGCAGCGCTTGCCTCGTTGCGGCCTACGCTAGGCCTACGCGAGGCCTACGCGAGGACTAGCGTAGGCCTAGCGTAGGCCTACGCTAGGCCTACGCGAGGCCTACGCTAGGCCTACGCTAGACCTACGCGAGGCCTACGCTAGGCCTACGCGAGTCCTACGCGAGGCCTACGCTAGGCCTACGCTAGACCTACGCGAGGCCTACGCGAGGCCTACGCTAGGCCTACGCGAGGCCTACGCGAGGCCTACGCTAGGCGAAACCCTTTGCCCGTTGTCTCTGCCTGGTCCCAGCTGGCGGCGGCGGGCGACCTGGCCCGCCGCTGCCTGGTCAAGGCCGCCCTGTGCCGCCTGCTGGCCGTGCTGTACCGGCGGCTGCCCCTGGCCAGCCTCCAGGGCCCGGCGTCGAAGGTCAACGCGGCCTACGCGGCCTCCGTCGCCGGGGGTGCGGGCGGTGACGGCAAGGAGCTCACCAAGGCCCTGCTCAGGTGCGCCGGCCTGGGTGGGCGGGGAGGTTCAGCGATGAGGGGGGAGAGTGGTGGTGGTGGTGGTGGTGATGTAGTGTTGGTGTTGGGTGGTGGTGCTGGTGCTGGTGGTGGCGGTGATGGTGGCGATGTGTTGGTGTTGGGTGGTGGTGGTGGCGGTGGTGGTGGTGGTGCGTTGGTGGTGGTGACGTGGTGTTGGTGGTGGCGGTGGTGGTGGTGGTGGTGGTGATGGTGGTGGTGGTGATGGTGGTGGTGGTGACGTGGTGTTGGTGTTTGTGGCGGCGGTGGTGGCAGTGGTGGTGGTGTGGTGACGGTGACGGTGGCGATGTGTTGGCGTTGGGTGGTGGTGCGTTGGTGGTGGTGACGTGGTGTTGGTGTTGGGTGGTGGTGGTCGTGGTGGCGATGTGTTGGTGTTGGGTGCTGGTGACGGTGATGGCAGTGACGGTGGCGATGTGTTGGTGTTGGGTGGTGGTGGTGGTGGTGGGGGTGGTGGTGATGATTGAGGTGGTGGTGGTGGTGATGGTGGTGGTGGTGTTGGGTGGTGGTGCTGGTGGTGGTGGTGCGTTGGTGGTGGTGACGTGGTGTTGGTGTTGGGTGGTGGTGGTGGTGGTGGTGGTGATGGTGGCGATGTGTTGGTAGTGGTGACGTGGTGTTGGTGTTGGGTGATGGTGGCGATCTGTTGGTGTTGGGTGGCAGTGGCGGTGCGTTGGCAGTGATGGCAGTCGTGGTGACGGTGATGGTGGTGGTGGTGGTGACGGTGGCGGTGGTGGTGGCGGTGTCAGTGGCGGTGTGGTGGCGGTGTGGTGACGGTGACGGTGTCGGTGACGGTGACGGTGACGGCGCTGCCCAGGTGGTGCCACGAGACGTTCACGGAGGACACGCGTGGCGAGTCGCCGGTGCCGCCGGAGCGCCGGGCGCTGCGCTGTGCCGCGTGGGCGTGCGCCGCCGCCATCGCCACCCTCACCCTCACCGAGCTGCACTTCTTTCACGGGTTCCTATTCGCCGAAAAACCGGAGAAGGTGGGAGCCACTCACTCACTCAGTCACCCAGTCACTCACTCACTCACCCAGTCACTCACTCAGTCACCCAGTCACTCACTCACTCACTCACCCACTCACTCACTCACTCAACCAGTCACTCACCCACTCACCCACTCACTCACTCACCCACTCACTCACTCACTCACCCACTCACCCACTCACACACTCACCCACTCACACACTCACCCACTCACTCACTCACCCACTCACTCACTCACTCACCCAGTCACTCACCCACTCACTCACTCACTCACACACTCACTCACTCAGCCACTCACTCACTCACTCACACACTCACTCACTCACTCACCCAGTCACTCACTCACACACTCACTCACTCACCCACTCACTCACTCACCCACTCACTCACTCACCCACTCACTCACTCACTCACTCACCCACCCACTCACTCACTCACCCAGTCACTCACTCACTCACCCACCCACTCACTCACTCACCCACCCACTCACCCACTCACTCACTCACTCACCCTCACCCTCACCGAGCTGCACTTCTTTCACGGGTTCCTATTCGCCGATAAACCGGAGAAGGTGGGAGCCACTCACTCACTCACTCACCCACCCACTCACTCACTCACCCACCCACTCACTCACCCACTCACCCACTCACCCTCACCCTCACCGAGCTGCACTTCTTTCACGGGTTCCTATTCGCCGATAAACCGGAGAAGGTGGGAGCCACTCACCCACTCACTCACCCACCCACTCACTCACTCACCCACCCACTCACTCACCCACTCACCCACTCACCCTCACCCTCACCGAGCTGCACTTCTTTCACGGGTTCCTATTCGCCGATAAACCGGAGAAGGTGGGAGCCACTCACTCACTCACTCACCCACTCACTCACTCACTCACCCAGTCACTCACCCACTCACTCACTCACCCACTCACTCACCCACTCACACACTCACCCACTCACCCACTCACCCACTCACTCACTCACTCACCCAGTCACTCACTCACTCACCCAGTCACTCACTCAC